TGTTGTTATTCATTTAGGTCCAATTGAGTTTGTTTCGGCAGACATTCAGGACAAATAAATCTCTGGCCTTGACGTCACGTATTTAATTTAACAGGTGGTCGCGAAAATATGGAAATGAGTAAAAGTTGCTTTAAGCAATATTGCAGCTGTCCGTGGCTAGCGAAAAAGGACTTGCATGACCGGTCTACGAGTAGCACCCACCATTTCCAGTGTAAAATCATAACGTTGGTGTACGTGAAGTTTTTGGCTAGATGACATGATGAAAGTAGAGAGAATCGTAGCAGAAACAGGACAGTGGGCAGGTTGGTGGGTACAGCGTTCAGTCGTAACAACGAGATCTGTTCCATTCCGTGGTAAAATGTGCGGGGCCTAATTTTGAAGCCCCCATTTGTGATGTAACGAAAAAAGGGTTTGGAATAGGCATTCACTGATTATAAACAAATTACAGAATGTCACAACTATGTGAAGAATACGTGTAATGGTATGACGTATTACAGATGTTTCGGAATGGATATGAAAATTTCATCGCTGTACAACGATCATGAGAACCATTTCGGCAGATTATTGACACTGGTTGACACTGGTTAGAATTGATCTTCAGCAACCCATGCTTGTCGTAAGAGGCTACTGGCGGGATCGGGTGGTCAGCCTCGCTGACTTGGTTGACACATGTCATCTTGTTCCAGTTGCGCAGATCAATGTTCTTGCTATTTGATCACTGGGTTGTCTGGTCCAGACTCGATTATTTACAGACCACCGCCATATAGCTGAATATTGCTGAGTGCGGCGTAAAACTAAACTCACTCAGATTTGTGTGGACACATCCTTGAATTGACACAATTTGTGCTGTTGTTTCAATCATGTATTTGTTGTGAATGTGATCTAGATGGTATTCTGTGTAGGATGATATGTACCCAAATATTGGAATATTATATGTTAAAACAAATAAATATGTCATCAAAAGAGCCTTCTCGTTGTTTGTCATTTTATTATTGGCAGTGAAAATCGCTGTGGAGATGTTCGTCATTTGGACAAACTAGAAACCTGTTATCGTAGATTCGAAAACCTGTTTGTCTCGATTATGTTTCAACGTTTGTTAGCGCCATACCCATGCTCGTAATGATTTATTGTACTGTGAAGCATTTCGAGTCAGAGGTCATCTTGATTATTTATTTTTTTATCTTTAATCCACGCAAAGACACGAGGGCCTGTGATGCTCGTGTGTTACGCCAACACGGCAAACGTCTGATACCTTCATTTCTTCGGACTTTCCCCCAAATTTAAATGCCATATAATGATGAAGCGGCGTTTATCCAAACCCACTTGCTCGCTCGTGATATGAAATCCTCTATGAAGCATCAAATGTCCATCTTTAAGCGGTTCATTGTTGAATCTCAGAGAAGGGTCATTCTGGTAAGGGTTCGCTTGGAATATGTATGCCGTACATCAAAGGCCAATTTCGGTTTCTACACTGTATGGGCTTAAATAAGCATGTAGTCTTGTAACATAAGTCTTGTTCAATTTGATGAATGTTATTTCTTGCAGCAGCCCCATAACGTAAGTAAAGATACGGCGGTACGTCACAATCACTATGACGTTTGATTTGGTGACGTCATGATTTACTACAACGTCACTCAAAGCATTCGTTCTGCTTGAAGATAATGAAGACCATGGCCTGTTTCACAAAGAGTATTTAGTGAGCACTAAGGCTGTCGTTAGCCTATGTGCTTGTGTCTGGTTGGGTGGGCAGGTGAGAAGGTGGGTGGGCGGGTATGTCGGATTGCATGCCGTGTGTCTTGATGCACGTGTGTTGGATAGTGGTTTGATGCTTTTACACGTACGCTTCGGTTGAAAAGTGTTCACCCATTTGAATGAGTGAGTTTAGTTTTACGGCGCACTCAGCACTATTCCAGCTATATGGCGGCGGTTTGTAAATAATCGAGTCTGGACCAGACAATCCAGTGATCAACAGCATGAGCATCAATCTGCGCAATTGGGAACTGATGACATCACCCATTTGAAAGCTGCAAAGATGGCCTGTGGCTGTGTGTGCGGTCTGTGTCTGCGGGTGTTCCTCTTTGAATATAACTATGTATGATAGAAGGTACATGTGTTCGATTACACCTGTAACTATTTGCATATATGTTTTGTGTGATTGGGCAGTATGTGACGTATGTGATGGCAGAAACCTTTGGTGTGAATGTGCATGTACGTATATGTGTAAATGCACTTGGTATATGTGGATTTATGTGAGCGACAACTTTATCTAAATATACTTTTTAATTTGTACGTTATTTTAACTCAATAATAGTTTTATGAATAAATAGTTTCTCGTAGGCCTGATGGTCGGAGCCCCCTCAGCATATCAGTGTGTTTTGTATTCATATCGGGGCGGTCGGGTAGCCTAGTAGTTAAAGCGTTCGCTCGTCAGTCCAAAGACCCGGGTTCGAGTCCCAACATGGGTACAATATGTGAAGCCCATTTCTGGTGTCCCTCGCCACGATATTGCTGGAATATTGCTAAAAGATTGGTAAAACCACACTCACTCACTTGTTTATATACAGCGGTACGACCGCTTTGTGGAACGGAACGCAGTTCTGAAATATAACTTCAGTTTCTTATGGGCCTATAAACAAACGCGAACAAATAATAGATTAGTACAAAACTTGCATACGTTGTTCCGTATATCGGTTACCATATCCTTTGATATTCCAACAACAATCCGTTCAATAGATCCGTAGCAGAACCAGCCTGAAGAAACGAGTACCGAACGATTGGTAATAAGAAACATATGTATATGAATTTATTCATCTGATTGTCATTAACAGTTTATGTACAGTGGAACCTATTGCTCTAACACGCGTAGATTCGTTATGTCAGTCAGACCCTCCTTCTGAACTGCCGACCAGAAGACTTGAAGACCGGCTTGACAAAACATATACAAACGTTATGTTAATCTTGCAAGACTGAAACCCGTCCTGAACCACTGTGTATATTACCCGTTTGATATACACCATCATCGTGTACCTGTGTTAAATATATCACAATCGAATTACTAGTTGAACCCTGAAGGGCCGGACTCAGCAACCCATGCTTATCGTAAGAGACTGACATATTTAGTACATGGGCTGAGGAATCTAGGACATTGGGTGATTAAATCTGTCATAAGGGTGACAGATATGGGATGAGGAATCTACAACATGATGTGACAAATCTAAGTCATAGTGTGACAAATCTCGGGCATGGGTTGACGAATCTACAACATGGGGTAACAAATCTCGGGCATGGGTTGACGAATCTACAACATTAGGTGACAAATCTCGGGCATAGACTGAGGAATCTACAACATGGCGTGGCAAATCTACTGCATGAGCTGAAGAATCTACGACATGAGGTGACAAATGTCGGGCATGGGTGGACGAATCTACAACATGGGGTGACAAATCTCGGGCATAGACTGAGGAATCTACAACATGGGGTGACAAATATACTGCATGAGCTGAAGAATCTACGACATGAGGTGACAAATGTCGGGCATGGGTGGACGAATCTACAACATGGGGTGACAAATCTCGGGCATAGACTGAGGAATCTACAACATTGGGTGACAAATCTCGGACATAGACTGAGGAATCTACAATATGGCGTGGCAAATCTACTGCATGAGCTGAAGAATCTACGACATGAGGTGACAAATGTCGGGCATTGGTTGACGAATCTACAACATGGGGTGACAAATCTCGGGCATAGACTGAGGAATCTACAACATTGGGTGACAAATCTCGGACATAGACTGAGGAATCTACAATATGGCGTGGCAAATCTACTGCATGACCTGAAGATTCTACGACATGATGTGACAAATCTAGGGCATGGGCTGAGGAATCTACAACATGGGGTGGCAAATTAAGACATGGGCTGAGGAATCTATGACATTTGGTGACAAATCTCGGGCATGGGGTGACAAATCTCGGACATGGGCTGAGGAATCTAGGATCATGATCAGGTCTAATCAGTGGCAGGAACAAACCATCGTAAGTTTTCTGCATGTCAATGAGCGCAACACGGCGACGTCCCAATCCAACTCACCCAACTAAAAATGAGCATCATTTGGCACTCAACGATTCCTCAATATTGTCCTCTTAACCCGTGAAGATCGGGTTGCATTTGGTCTTCAGCAACCCATGCTTGTCGTTAAAGGCGACTGACTGAATCAGATGTTCAGACTCGCTGACTTGGTTGACCACACAAATGGCATCGTATTCCAATTGCGTAGATGGATGTTTGTGATGGCAGTCACTGGATTGTCTTTTGCCGAATCGATAATTTACAGATCACAGTCATATAGCTGGAATATTGCTGAGGGCGTTAAACACCAAACAAACATTTCTGGTGTTATTGCTGGAATATTGCTAAACTCTTAACTCACTCACTCACTCACCATTCAGTGAGAACCAAATCACAGGATTAGCAATGTCTCCTGGTTATATATGCCGACCAATGATGGCAGGCCTAACAACACGTCCACCGTGCTATATGTGTCAAACTCTCATCCGAAGAAACTAGAGTTTCTACGTGGGGCGTGTGTCATTGAGTTTCATTTGAGCGTTATCACGTGACTTCTTCATATATCCGTGCACTGTACCTTCCGCGATGATTTTCATCGCTAAACGGACGCGAATGATATTTTTCTGTAAAAGATCACATTAAAATTGTAATTAGAAATACAAGAAAGTAAACACTAAAACGTTTTAAACCACTGAAGGCAGAGTCAACTGTTCGATTCAAACCATAATATCATGTGTTTATAAAGAATTTAAAACTATTATTATACGAGTCCACTGAAAGCAGAGTCAATTGTTCGATTCAAACCAATATGACATGTGTTTATGAACCATTATTAAACTGTGACTCCAGCTGTTAGTGAACACAGAGTATTCAAACGGTTCAAGTATTACAAATGTGTAACGCAAAACTCCATAAAAAATACAAACAAAAAATAACAAAAACTTTATTTATTTTTGTTTACATCTAATGATAATGCATGTATGATCATCGCATTTGCTGTGTTAAAAATGCAATGAGCAGCATTTGTATTACAATTTACAGTTATTTGGTTGTTATCGTTGTTTCTGTGGTAACATGTGCCCCTAGACCATTTGTGTAGTACTTTCTTGCCCCGCGGCCTGAAATATACAATGATAATACATTGTGCTTTGTAGAAATGCCTTCCTTAAGTGGCATTTAGAAGCTGGTATGATGAAGTGGAACACTTTTTATGGAGAGACAGCTTCTTTGTTGCAGTAGTTGCGACGTTTCGGTGTAGATCCTAACACCGTTATCATTTGCTTTATAACGGTGTTAGGATCTACACCGAAACGTCGCAACTACTGCAACAAAGAAGCTGTCTCTCCATAAAAAGTGTTCCACTCCACTTTGTAGAAATGGTTGAGTATTAAAATGATTAAATATTCAATTTGTTACTTATTAATCTACCCATTCCAAATTGGAAAATTATGTCATATATTTTGAAGTACTATACAAATCAGGTTGGAGGGGTGGTGGGGTAGCCTAATAGTTAAAGCGTTGGCTCGAAACGCTGAAGACCCGAGTTTTTATTCCCTACATTGGTACAATGTGTGAAGCCCTTTTCCAATGTCCCCGGCCGCGACAATGCTGCAATATTGCTTAAAGCGTCGTAAAACCATACTCATTTTGCTAACTCTTCCGATACACAGACACAAATGTTTTATTATTTCACCTATAGTTTTCTTATCCCGGGACCCATTTCAATGGAACCCAGTGGTACGACAGTTGATTTGGTTATAGAAGAACTTGTAAATTACGTATATAACGAACGCGCTTCTATCGATCTAACGGTAACAGTTTACTTGCAACCTGAGAGGAATAACATAAACGAGAACATCCCCAATGCCGGAAAGAATGTTCACCATGACTAGACCACCAATCGGATTGTCGTTCAGGTCTCAAATAATGATTGTTGTGTTTGTATGAACCAACGTGCCACTGGCGACCACATCAGCAACTGGTGTAGCATAGACAACAGTTGACAGTCTCCTCTTTTAGTAGTCCAGGCCACTTGCTATATATTTAGTAGAAATGCATAAAACGAACTACGATTAAAACGAACTACGATTAGTGGTCCCTGCGAGTTCGTTATAACCGTAGTTTTCTGAATAGGACAACAAGCGTGGTTTGTGACCATGTGCTTCCTATATAAGTGGGAACTTCAGTTAAATATCGTGTCATGTATCTTCTTATCGTCCTTGGTGTAGTGGTTAGAACGTTCGATCCCCAGCCGCGCCATGCAAAAATACGTTAAAGTATGGTACTTGTTGGTCCCTGCCTGGCGCTCGGCATTAATGGGTACAACAAGGACTGGTTGGCTCGGAGTCAGTATAATGTGTCTGAGTGGGGTATTCATGCTTAACTGTGGAATGGTATCTCCAGTGAGCTAGCATTATAAAACCAGCTTAAGTCTGGGCTAGTACAAGCAGCCACACAAACACACGCACGCACGTCATCATATAAGCGAAATATTCTTAAGTACGACGTTAAACCCCATTTCACCTCATCTCACGTAACCTCACCTTATTATCAAAGGAAGTAACAAGTTATATTCTTTCCAAGTCATAACCATTATTTTGCCTCCTGTATATTTACATTTCGTATTCACTAACACACCATCAAATACAATCAGCTTTAACACTGAATGAAGGATGAAGTTCATGAGGCCTTGTCTTCAATTGTAAATGTGTTGGATTGTCTTAACATATGATTGACATTCGACTAAAATGCTCTTATTGATATTAATAGAAAAAGAACTCTACACGATTAACATATTCTTATATATTATTAATAAGTCAATGATGATTAATTGTTAAAATAAATTACATCTCAGTGTTGACAAATAACGAGCCACCATGACGTCAGAGGGAGAATGTTGTTTTAAGAGCATATTCTGCAATATTCCAGATTTACCACTGCATGACAAATTCTAACCCGGAACCTGAGAGAGTTTATTATATACTCTTATTATTATATTAAAAAGTAGAGGAACCTGCACTTTCAATTTGGATAAGAAGTATAAGCGATTACTGTACAAACAACTATGGTCATAAGGATGTGCAAGTGGTGATGTACTCTCAAAACATCTCTCAACATTGATTGACTCCAATATAGCTCCCAATTTTTTCAATCGTAAATTAAAAATGAAGTTCCACTACTTTTTTTAAGAGTATAGTATTACAATAGAAAGTTAAAGTTACCGAGCCTTACGGCTGGATCAATCAGCATCGCATATTACAAGTAAGAGTAGCTGGGGACGGACAAGTTGAAAACCCCGGGGGAAAAAAAACAACCCACGCACGCACGCGCGCGCACACACACACACACTCCATAGGGGAACATTACATGTGAGCATGGCTTACCGCTAGTTTCCTGTTCAGTCTCCTCAGGTCGAAGAGTGTGAAGCAGAGGTTCCGGAACTGACTTTCAGCATCTTCCAGCAGATTTAAGGGGTCCTTCTCCCAGTCTGTAAGAATGCGTGAGTCAGTTAATACTGCATGGTGTTGTCAGTGATAATCCAGTACTATCGCGGTCGCCTCTAAATAGGGGAGTTTGTGCTATACCAGTGGTTTATGAATAGGAGTGAAAAAACATTTTTATTATCATCAGAATCTACGCAATGAAGGAATATGGTACGAGTCTATACTATACGGGGCTGTACTATACGGGCCTGTACCATACGGAGCTGTAGCATACGGGGCTGTACCATACGGGGATATACCATACAGGGCGATACCATACGAGGGTGTACCATACTGGATTCTACTATACAAGGATATACCGTACGAAACTGTACTATATGGAGGTTGTACGACACGGAGCTATATCATACTGGGGTTGCGGGGCAAAGCCACGACGCTGTACCATCCAGGGCTCTACTATATGGGGATTACCGTACGGGCTGTACCATATGGGCTGTACCATACGGGGCTCTACCATACTGAGAATAAAGTACTATACCATATTGGGTCTGTTTGTCTACAATGAGAACATGTTCTACTGATGCAGTAATGGGGAACCAAACCGCTCAGTGATCGAAGGCACATACGTTTGCTGTGTATAGTTCACACATTCCAGGATCCGTTGTCACGGGTTCGATTCCCGAATAAAAACCAGAGTTTGTCAGCACGATACCCGTAATCACGAAATTACAATATATGGAATCTGTCCATTACGGACTGCCTGGGACCGACTAATTTGCCCGGATTATAAAGCAGTCGGGATTAGTCAACTTGTGTCCGTTAATGTCAATAAGTTTCACTTTGTGACAAATCAGACCGCCTACGTTTCGCTGAAGTGAATGTGAAACATTCATGTAAGCTGTCATTTATAGGACTTCAAACTGACTCTGAGTTAATCTTATCACATTAAATAAGGTGTGTTTAAAGAGTGAGTAAGTGAGTTTAGATTTACGCCGCACTCAGAAATATTCCAGCTATATGGCGGCGGTCTGTAAATAATCAGACAATCCAGTGATCAACAGCATGAACATCGATCTGCGCAATTGGGAACCGATGACATGTGTCAACCAAGTCAGCGGGCCTGACCACCTGATCCCGTTAGTCAAGCATGGCTTACTGAAGATCAATATTCTAACCCGAACCTTCACGGGTATGTGTTTATAGAATTAATTAACCATTGAGAACAGAAGTAACGGATATGTTTATTCAGCGACTGTTATTTAAGTCAGCTACGTCCGGATTGTAAAGCAAGCTTGTGTAATAAATTAAGAACAATTTAGCCTGGACTCAGAGAGTAGTTCGGATTATGGAGAAAACCGGTTTACAAGGAATCCGGATTTGACAGATCCCACTGTTTATAGTCAGCGTTATACCAAGTCTGGAAAATACAACACTTAATATGTACTGACCCATTCCAGTCGTCATAGGGGCATCTGTTGACCTCTTGGTCCTCAACAGATTCAACAGCCGGCTTACCAGCTTCTCCGTTCGCGTGGTTGTTGGTGTGTGTCCTTTCTCTTGGCGAAGGTACACCCCAGACACAATACAGGTTTGGAGAACCATGTCGGAGATGAACGCCTTCTGCATCAAACCGAATGCTGGAAAGAAATTCGATTAAACCTTTATACTTCTCATAACCAATAACAATATTTAAACAAATATATACTTACTTTCTCTTTAGTTGCGGGACCTGCTGTTAGAGCAGGGCATGGCGTCCTTTTCGCTAAAACCTGGGTTCACTTGCACAATGCATTGTACAATGATTGTAACTCCCATAGTCTAACCTAGGCTTAAAATAGTCGTAGCGCTAAGATCGCTTTGTGCATGTGGGCCCTGGTGTCAATACTCATTTCCAGTGAGTGAGTATGTTTTTACGTAAGGTTTAAGCAAAATTTCAAAGGGGGATATCAGAATTGACCTTCACACCTTGTACGTATGCAGGGAATTGAACCCAGTTCTTCAGCGTGACAAGCGAACGCTTTAACTATCAGGCTACCCGACTGTTCCTCTCCTTTTTAGTGATCAATTCACTGTATTGCCAATGTAGGGCCCAATGGATATTGTGTCTCCAGTAATGTGCAGGATTTATGAACCATCTCTCAATAATATAATTTCCCATAATTTCGCTTATTCAACCCGTTAAAGAGGGTATGGCTATTGCAGATGATTCAAAACATCGTACTTGTTCTGTGAGCTACTTACTTTCCAATGGTTTGACATCGCTTGACGTCCAATGATCTTTTGAAGCTATTCCTTCAGATTCGTCCAAGAACGTATCAAATTCCTTGATGAATTTCTTTTCATCGTCCTGCAGGTCTATATTTCGACGAACCGTCCTAGGCCGTGCTCCTGGCGTCCCAAAGCACGCCATCAATAAACAGAAACACAGCAATACCCGCATACTGTCCTCAGATCTACTGCGATTCACCCTTAATCTGAAGAAAAATAATTCATCTATGATTTGGTGCAATCGATAAACTTAAACACAGCAATGTCCGCATACTTCTGAAAAACAAGGGGCAAATGAAGTAAGGCTGATGTCACTGAATCAACGATGCCAACAGTTGATGAATAGTTACGACTGTCCAATACAGAGATATCTACACAAACATGTAGCCTTGATCCAAGACTGTACTGAATGCTAAGCCCATGGATATAGCAATTCTATCCTTTGAAGAGTGTGAGTGAGTGAGTTTAGTTTTACGCCGCACTCCGCAATATCCCAGCTATATGGCGGCGGTCCTTTGAAGAGACAAGTCTAGATGAGCGAGACATGGCGCCAGTCAGTTATTTATAATTTTTAGAAATTATCATTTAAACTAGTCTGTTATTTACATTTCTTAGAAATTATCCTTTAAACTGATAATTATTACCCTAGAAACTATCCTTTAAACTAATAATTATTACATTAGATACTTATGCAAGTCTAACGAACATTTAATGTGGTTTTCTAACCCATTAATCGTTATTTCATCCCAAACAAATCAAGATATATTTCACATTTTACTCTAAAAAAAAAGATGTTTTGCATTGTGGCCACGACTTAGTCATTGCAACAGTAACATGTCCGTATCGTTATTTACAGTGGGTTGGGTGAACGCCTCTTCCAACTGTATTCCATATGTTACACACCGCGTATGTGATCTAGTGGACGGAGCGTAACAGACAGGTGGTTCGATCCCCGGATGCATCAAACCAACAGACATCAAAAGATGGTAGTCATCGGTTTCCAATTGCGCAGATCGATGCTCATGCTGTTGATCACTGGATTGTCTGGTCCAGACTCGATTTTTTACAGACCGCCGCCATATAGCTGGAATATTGCTTAGTGCGGCGTAAACCTAAACTCACTCATTCACTCACTCACTCACTCAAAAGATGGTACTTGTTTTTAAACTGCCTGGTGTTCGGCACAATATGGATAACACACGGTCTAGTCTGCTGAAAATGAGACACCGTGAGTATTTGTAAAACTCGGTGCCAAAATATAATTTATATACATGGGTTGTAAATGACCCCAAATATTTTGCGGGAATCCATGTTACATCTGGTGTGTCAGTGGGATGAATGCATGGTAAAACCGATAGTTGAAATACGTCACTCCTTGTACGGATATCGTTCGTGACCAACTCGTGTTATTCCGGGACAAACCGACTTGCGACTCGTGTCTTCTTGGAGCATTCAAAACAACTCGTCCCTTTCCGTAACCAGAAAGAAAACTCGTACCCCTCTCGTAGCCATTTTATTGAACGTGGCTCTGTCTGAGTGCAAAAGCGCAGAGAGAAAACAATAGTCTAGTCGCCGAAGCATTTTCAGGGGCTTGTAATTCTAGTTTACTTGGAAAACTATGGAATCCTGGAAGGGACATTGTCGCGTTGTCGCATTGTCGCGTTGTCGCTCTCTCAAATACAAGCAAAATGAGGCAAAATTAACCAAAACGCGACACGCAACATCGCGACAACGCGACATTTCGCCCATTTGTCGCATTGTCGCGATGTCGCGTGTCGCGTTTTGAATAATGTTTTTTTTTATTCCTCCAAAGGGCGACACGCGACATAGCGACAATTTTCAAGGTCAAAATATGTCGCGTTGTCATGGGTGAAATGTTCAAAGTGATGAGTGTGTATGGTGCTGGGATTAGAACCTATGATCATAGTTATCTAGTGTGACTAAGAGACACAACCCTGCATAGCAAATTGCCTCGCCTTGAATGACAGGGCCACCGTGTGCCGTCATTACAATGAATAGTAGCGCCAATGATTTGTGTTGCTGCTAAAACACACTTGATTGGACAAATACATTTACAATAGATGCAATAATATTCAAAGCAACAATGAAAGATTTGCATTAAGTTCACGAAAAGCAGCCCCATTATCATTACGTGTACTACTTCATTGTAAAAACCATTGGAGGTAACAAAAGACCACTGAAGTGTGAAATAGAGTATAACTTTTCCTGCGCATGCGTAGACTAATTGACTTTCTACGCATGCGCACCGGTAATCGAAAAGGGCGACAACGCGACACGCGACAATGCGACATATTGAATATGTCGCATTGTCGCGTTTTAATCAATTTTTAGGCTTCTTTTTCCACATCTTAGATAGGGCGACAATGCGACATATTTTGACCTTGAAAATTGTCAAAACGCGACAAGCGACATCGCGACAATGCGACAAATGGGCGAAATGTCGCGATGTCGCGTGTCGCTATTTGGTTTATTTTGCCTCATTTTACTTGTCGCTATTTGGTTTATTTTGCCTCATTTTACTTGTTTTTGAGAGGGCGACAATGCGACAACGCAACAATGTCCCTTCTCGGATTCCATAGAAAACAAAGATGGCATCCATGCCAAGGAAATTCTTCCGAGTGAACGGTGAATACTTTCCTACGCCATAATGTTAATACATCCCGGTTATGAAAATTCAGGAAACCCAGGAGGACTATGCAATAATTAAATATACTGGAAGTTTCTGGGGAAAAATTATGCAAACCGAAATGAAAATTATTCCAACAAACTATTTTGACCCAATTTCTTCTCTACATACGCGAATTCTGATTGGCTGGGGGAATATTTTTCCCGGACATGGCTACGAGAGGGGTACGAGTCTTCTTTCTGGTTACGGGACCGCCTCCGTGGTGTAGTGGTTAGAGCGTCCGCCCGGAGAGCGGAAGGTCGCGGGTTCGATCCCCGATCGCGTCATACCAAAAGACGTTAAAATATGGTGCTTGTTGGTCTCTGTCTGGCGCTCGGCATTTATGGGTACAACAAGGACTGGTCGGCTCGGAGTCAGTATAATGTGTCTGAGTGGGGTATTCATGCTTAACTGCGGCATGGTATCTCAGTGAGCTAGCACTATAAAACCAGCTTAAGTCTGGGCTAGTACAAGCAGCCGCACATACACATACACACGCATGCACGTCGTCATATGAGCGAAATATTCTCAAGTACGACGTAAAACCCAATTTCACCTCACCTCACCTCTGGTTACGGAATGGGACGAGTGGTTACGAATGTTCTTGGAGGTTACGGAAAGGGGCGAGTAATGACGAATGGTACGGATATAACGGACACAACTCCGTGCAGCTATTCACGATCCCTTTCCAGTTGAGCACGGTATCCTAATTGAGTCACTGCTGTCGAGTAGAAATACCTAACCACTTATATTCCTGCACATCTGCACAAATCTTCTGCTCTGCTAAACACCTTAATGTAATTTCCCGTGAAGAATGCACGTTTTATGTTCTCGTGAAACACCCGTTATACACCCGGAAACCCTCTCTCCGTGGGAGAATTACATTTAGCGCTGACAACAACAAATTCTTTTTAAAGCTTATGAAATGAGAAAACATTAAAAGCAGTTTTAAATGAAGTTAGAAATTCGTAATTGTGCGTTACATAGTCGAGAATCGACCAGAGCCATTTCGATCGGTATAACATGAACATACTTATATTTTAATTAAGGCTCTTAACTAGAAAACAAGTAACGTTTTCGACAGGGGGTAACTGTGTGTTACTTCATGCAGTGCAAAATGTTAGAGTGCTCTAGACCTAAGGAATAAGTAAGTGGGTAGGGTTCATAAAATTCCAGCAATATCACGGCGGGGAACACCAGCAAACGGCTTCACACAATGTACCCACGTGGAGAAATGAACCCATGTCTTTGGCGTGACTGGAGAACGTATTAACCACTAGGCTGCGCTACCGCCCCATTAAGGTAATACTGCTATTCAACTCAAACCTTCCGTCAATCACGACCGGTACACGAAACAAGTTTGGACCATGAGTGTTATTGTCGAAATATGTTGTTTTTTTCGGTCACACCAATTACCAGATTTCTCATTATTCCCTCTGGGAGTCAGTCCCCTACCGTGACATGGTTTGGATTGGATACAATCCTGTTAACAACACAAACCCAGTTTCAAAAATGCAAATAGTGTCATGAATAGCCTCGACGATAATAAAGCCACACACTCTTTTTATAACAAATAAGTATAAACGACTGTGTTAAGAGCGAGGATGGTGACATATATTGTCTGACGATTATGTCAGATATCTTGGTTCGCATTATCAACAACACCAAAAGAATATGAAAAGGCGGGCACAGCATACGAATTGTTGGTTTGGACTTTATTACGAGAGTTCAGCAATCCTATGTGAATTGGCTAAACCTCTCTCTTCTGTCTTGCCACGTGTAATAACGTTGCATTTGTTGAGTCCCAAGGGCATCAAATATGTGTTACAAAGAGGAGAACCTGTCTTTTCTGTGTCTCCCTTAGTAAGACGTCATCCATGTAAAGGGAAGTGAATAAAAGGGATCTATGCTGAGGAGAAGATAATGATCTTCTCTTTTAAGTAAAAGGCTTAATGGATTTAGTGACAGGCGGAAACGTAAAGGACAAAATGAATCGTTCCTAATGACCTCTTCTAATGGAAATAGTTTCTGGAAAAGGATGCCAGCACTTACCCTCAAGTTGAGTAAAACAAGTAATAACCTTAGGCGGTCACTGCATTCTAGTGACCTCAAAGTCCCTTCGCGAGGTTCAGAATCACAAACTTTCCTGTAGTCTGTCCAACACATTGAGAGAAGAAGATGGTGCATGGCTTTAACCAACAATTGATCCTTGCAACCCGAGCATCCCTTTCTGCTCCATGTTGATGTTATCATTGGAGGTGCAGTATGACGTCACAGGATCCGTAAGACACTCAGTGAATATTTTGTAGTGACAGATAGTAGGGCGTCTTGGGAGGGAGGTCAGTCAGTGCCTATTTTGGGGAATATTTTGTATTTTCCGACCTTTGTATAAACAAAGAAGAACCCACTCTGTATCCACGAGAGAACAGTGAAGTAATGGTCTTTGGGAACATTTTCCAATACCGGTTTCGAAAACCATTTACAGTTTGACGTTTTTATTACCCTACTTTGGGTTG